GTCGTTTTTTTTTTTTTCGGGTCGAAATTTTGAGTTTCGATATCTCAGCTCTGGAAGGGTCTAGAGCCTCCATTTTTGCACTCAGGTGTAAGTCTCAGTGCCCTCTATCAGAACCCAGAGTTTCGAGAAGATTGGGGATACTTAATTTTTCGCCCAAAAAAAAAAAACGTAAGGGGTAACACTGTCGTTTTTTTTTCAGGTCGAAATTTTGAGTTTCGATATCTCAACTCTGGAAGGGTCTAGAGCCTCCATTTTTGCACTCAGGTGTTAGTCTCAGTGCCCTCTATCAGAATCCAGAGTTTCGAGAAGATTGGGGATACTTAATTTTTCGCCCCCAAAAAAAAAACGTAAGGGGTAACACTGTCGTTTTTTTTCGGGTCGAAATTTTGAGTTTCGATATCTCAGCTCTGGAAGGGTCTAGAGCCTCCATTTTTGCACTCAGGTGTAAATCTCAGTGCCCTCTATCAGAATCCAGAGTTTCGAGAAGATTGGGGATACTTAATTTTTTCGCCCAAAAAAAAAAACGTAAGGGGTAACACTGTCGTTTTTTTTTTCGGGTCGAAATTTTGAGTTTCGATATCTCAGCTCTGGAAGGGTCTAGAGCCTCCATTTTTGCACTCAGGTGTAAGTCTCAGTGCCCTCTATCAGAATCCAGAGTTTCGAGAAGATTGGGGATACTAAATTTTTCGCCCCAAAAAAAAAACCGTAAGGGGTAACCCTGTCGTTTTTTTTTCTGGTCGAAATTTTGAGTTTCGATATCTCAGCTCTGGAAGGGTCTAGAGCCTCCATTTTTGCACTCAGGTGTAAGTCTCAGTGCCCTCTATCAGAACCCAGAGTTTCGAGAAGATTGGGGATACTTCATTTTTCGCCCAAAAAAAAAACGTAAGGGGTAACACTGTCGTTTTTTTTCGGGTCGAAATTTTGAGTTTTGATATCTCAGCTCTGGAAGGGTCTAGAGCCTCCATTTTTGCACTCAGGTGTAAGTCTCAGTGCCCTCTATCAGAATCCAGAGTTTCGAGAAGATTGGGGATACTTAATTTTTCACCCCAAAAAAAAAAACGTAAGGGGTAACACTGTCGTTTTTTTTTTCGGGTCGAAATTTTGAGTTTCGATATCTCAGCTCTGGAAGGGTCTAGAGCCTCCATTTTTGCACTTAGGTCTAAGTCTCATGGCCCTCTATCAGAATCCAGAAGTTCGAGAAGATTGGGGATACTAAATTTTTCGCCCAAAAAAAAAACGTAAGGGGTAACACTGTCGTTTTTTTTTTTCGGGTCGAAATTTTGAGTTTCGATATCTCAGCTCTGGAAGGGTCTAGAGCCTCCATTTTTGCACTCAGGTGTAAGTCTCAGTGCCCTCTATCAGAATCCAGAGTTTCGAGACGATTGGGGATGCTTAATTTTTCGCCCAAAAAAAATCGTAAGGGGTAACACTGTCATTTTTTTTTCGGGTCGAAATTTTGAGTTTTGATATCTCAGCTCTGGAAGGGTCTAGAGCCTCCATTTTTGCACTCAGGTGTAAGTCTCAGTGCCCTCTATCAGAATCCAGAGTTTCGAGACGATTGGGGATGCATAATTTTTCGCCCAAAAAAAATCGTAAGGGGTAACACTGTCGTTTTTTTTCCGGGTCGAAATTTTGAGTTTCGATATCTCAGCTCTGGAAGGGTCTAGAGCCTCCATTTTTGCACTCAGGTGTAAGTCTCAGTGCCCTCTATCAGAATCCAGAGTTTCGAGAAGATTGGGGATACTTAATTTTTCGCCCAAAAAAAAAAAACGTAAGGGGTGACACTGTGTTTTTTTTTTTTCGGGTCGAAATTTTGAGTTTCGATATCTCAGCTCTGGAAGGGTCTAGAGCCTCCATTTTTGCACTCAGGTGTAAGTCTCAGTGCCCTCTATCAGAATCCAGAGTTTCGAGAAGATTGGGGATACTTAATTTTTCGCCCAAAAAAAAAACGTAAGGGGTAACACTGTCGTTTTTTTTCGGGTCGAAATTTTGAGTTTCGATATCTCAGCTCTGGAAGGGTCTAGAGCCTCCATTTTTGCACTCAGGTCCAAGTCTCATGGCCCTCTCTCAGAATCCAGAGTTTTGAGAAGATCAGAGAAACTCAAAATTTCGACCCCCCCCCCCCTCCAAAAAAAAAAAACGACATAGGTACCTCTTTCGTTTTTTTTTCGGGGTGAGAAATTAAGTTTCTCTGATTTTCTCAAAACTCTGGATTCTGATAGAGGGCCATGAGACTTAGACCTGAGTGCAAAAAATGAGTCTCTAGACCCTTCAAGAGCTGAGATTGAGATATTTATAATGGCATAAATGCTACGTGGGATCTCAACATCTCAGCTCTGGAAGGGTCTAGAGCCTCCATTTTTGCACTCAGGTCTAAGTCTTTATGTTTCCTGCTGTATATTTTGGGGTGAAGTGTGACCAGGATCTGGTTTTGATGAGATTCACACACTGAATGTGGTGTGTGTGTGCACCTGCTGTCTGGTCTAGTACACAGTAGTGCAGTGCCAGATCAGTGCTGTGTGTAATAAGCCCAGCAGTGTTTATGTGGATGAGTGCGTGTTTGCACTGATTGCGTCCTCTTCACATCCGTTCCTCCACTCCTCCAGCACCTGACTGCCAACACTCACTTCAGTCCATAATATGAAGACATGTTGTGATGGATCTGTGTCAATATTGGGATTCTGATGACACCTGGTTTGGCCTATACATCCTTTAACATTCCCAGTTATTTAAGCCTCTAAACGTGTGTGTTGTGTGCCGTTATAGCCGATCTTCAGGCAGTTTCAGGCGATTTATGTACCACGTTGCCCCCCCCCTTTTTTGTAGGGAAAGTGTTTGACATATAATGGCATTAATGCTATGTGAGATCTCCATATATCATCTCACGAAGTGTCTAGAGACTCCATTTTTTGCACTCAGGTCTAAGTCTCAGTGCCCTCTATCAGAATCCAGAGTTTCAAGAAGATCAGAGAAACTCAAAATTTCGAACCAAAAAAAAAAAAACCGACATAGGTACCCCTTTCGTGTTTTTTTTTCTGGGTGAGAAATTAAGTTTCTCCAATCTTCTCAAAACTCTGGATTCTGATAGAGGGTCATGAGAGTTAGACCTGAGTGCAAAAATGGAGGCTCTAGACCCTCCCAGAGCTGAGATATTGAGATATTTATAATGGCATAAATGCTACATGGGATGTCCATATCTCAGCTCTTGAAGGGTCTAGAGCCTCCATTTTTGCTCTCAGGTCCAAGTCTCAGTGCCCTCTATCAGAATCCAGAGTTTTGAGAAGATCAGAGGAACTCAAAATTTCGACCCCCGAAAAAAAACGACATAGGTACCCCTTTCGTTTTTTTTTCTCGGGGTGAGAAATTAAGTTTCTCCAATCTTCTCAAAACTCTGGATTCTGATAGAGGGCCATGAGACTTGGACCTGAGAGCAAAAATGGAGGCTCTAGACCCTTCAAGAGCTGAGATATTGAGATATTTATAATGGCATAAATGCTACGTGGGATCTCAACATCTCAGCTCTGGAAGGGTCTAGAGCCTCCATTTTTGCACTCAGGTCTAAGTCTTTATATTTCCTGCTGTATATTTTGGGGTGAAGTGTGACCAGGATCTGGTTTTGGTGAGATTCACACACTGACTGTGGTGTGTGTGTGTGTGTGCATCTGCTGTCTGGTCTAGTACACAGTAGTGCAGTGCCAGATCAGTGCTGTGTGTAATAAGCCCAGCACTGTTTTGTGGATGAGTGCGTGTTTGCACTGAGTGTGTCCTTCTTCACATCGTTCCTCCACTCTCCAGCACCTGACTGCCAACACTCACTTCAGTCCATGAAATGAAGACATGTTGTGATGGGATTGTGTCAATATTGGGATTCTGATGATACCTGGTTTGCCTATACATCCTTTAACAATTCCCAGTTAATTTAAGCCTCTAAACGTGTGTGTTGTGTGCCGTTATAGCGATCTTCAGGCAGTTTCAGGGGATTTATGTACCACGTTGCCCCCCCCCCCCTTTTTTTT